GTTACTACTAGGGAAGGTTCAAGGCTGAAAGCTACCTATCCTGATGCAAGATATTTTCGACTTATACTCTTTCGATAAATTTTGCATATTGTTGCATTTTTGTTGTCATCACATTCTATTCATGTGGGGGACTATTAGAAATGGTTTGGAAAAATCTGGGTATATAACATAATTTTTCCTAACTTTGGTCTATTATTTAGGTGGGACCCATACGCCAAATTTGACGGGTCTAAGTGGTAACGCGTTCTATGTCACGTTATGATTCAGGTGGTATATTTGGTTGCTCAAAACCATTATCGAGTGAATGGGAAATTGAAGCCAAAGTGTGCTCCATGGAAATGAAGTTTTGGTAGAAAATCCTTAAAGGTTTGAAAAATGGCTTGCCTCACATTGATTTGGTGAGAAGTTTTGAGTGGGTTTATAGGGCATGGGATTGGAACTTGGGATGTGCCCCAAGGGGTACCCAAGTTTTGTAGAGATGAAGGTTATGGGTAAAATGAGCTAAACCCATTGGACCCAAAAATCACCACACACGCGCGCGCACGTCGCCGCCGCCAGTCGGTCGGGCGGGCTAGGCTGGGCTGGGCTGGGCTGGGCTTGAGCGCGGGTGCGTGGTGTGAAGTTTGGTTGGGCTTGTCCGGCCCAATACTAATATTTTTGGGCCAAAAACATTTGAATTTTATTTTATTTATTTATAAATAAAATCTGTCCGTTTTTATTTCAAATTCTGGTTGGAAATAAAATTCAAATTTTTAGTTTGCACCTCGTTAGAAATTCTGCACAGTTTTGGATCTATCCTAACCGAATCTGTTCAAATTCAATTCCACCAAAAACAGGTTTTTGAATTGTTTGAAATTCAAACCAAACAGTACCTACAGATTTTGTATTTGGTTAATTTAAATTGAACAGGTATTGTACATGTTTAATTCAAAATTAGCAACCATCAAGCCACCACTTCACCTATATAAATAGGCAATCCCTCATTTGGTTTTTTACAATAATTTTCGTACTTCTCCTCTGTTAAAATTCTCTGCATTTTGCTGCATATAATTTCTATGAGAAAAAGTGTAAACACTTAGTGTGTTCGTTGGGCAAACAATTTGTAGTGCTGCTATTGTTTACTGTTGATCATTTCATCCTAAGAGATAGACGTCCACATTCTAAAAGCACCGTGGAAAGGACGAATCTGTCTTAAGGACATAGTGTCTAACACTGGACTTGATCAGAATATTTTTCAAGAAATTAATCAAGTAAGTTGGTTATTTATTTTCTATTTTATTTAATTATTTAAATCAGATTTTGATTTTATTTTTGTAACAAAATAAAAATCTGTTTTTTTTATTTATGTTATTTTATTTTCCTAATTTGATTTTTGTAATCAAACAATTCTCACATTTTTCTTTTATTTCTTATATATTCTGTTTGTTATTAAGTACACAACAGAATTAATTTTACAAATACAATAAAGATTGTCCAGCAACCTGTTTTTGGGAGCAAAAGCAGAGTTAATTTTGTATGTGTATGTGTTTATGTATGTGAGAGAGAGAGAGAGAGTGAGAGAGAAAGAGAGAGTGAGTCAACAACAAACAGGATGTTTCTTTGTTAAATGAAACAGAAGTATATGTTTTCTTCCATTTATCATCACCATTTCAAAAATACCAAGGTTGTTAAGATCGTGATCCGGATCATAGGATCGTACGATCCTACGATCCAATATATACCATTCGATCCGACTTGTATTCTGGATCATGCCGATGATAAGATCGTCGAAGGATCGTTAGGATCGACAGGATCGTATCAGGATCGCGATTCCATGCAATCCTGATTATTAGGGTTTTTTTTCGTAACTTCAAGTCAAACAAGCCTTTGTCGGGATAAAAGAAGAAAAAAAAATTGATCCTCTGTGCTGCGATTAGGGCAAGAAATAGAGGAAAGAGAAATTGGACATCAAAGCTTTAGATTTTATGTATCCAGGTATGCATCTTCTTCAAATCTTTCTTTTTTTTTTTTTTTTTTTTTTTTTGCTTTTTTCTGTCTTCTTCTTCGTTTCTTCTTCTTCATTGCTGTTGGTCTTCTTCTTCGCTACTCTTCCTTTTCTTTTTCTTCACTGCTCGTCTTTGAATCTTCCTCGTATGTGTTCGATTCTTCGAATCTTCCTTGTATGTAGTTCGAATCACCATTTTTTCTTCTCCCAACTTCTTTTTTCCTCATCTTCTCCCATCTCTGTAGTTGTATTGTCTGTTTCTGAGTATTATATATATATATATTTGCTTGAATGATATATATATATATATATATATAAGATTAGAAATTGAGTGAGAGGATTAATGAATATTTAAATGATTTTTATGCAAAATTTATATTTTTTAGAACAAAAAAATACAAAAAATAAAAAAAAAATTCTAAAAATTAAAAAATAATTTTTAATTTAAAAAATTTTAAAAAAATTTTAAAATTAAAAAAATTCGAAATTTTCAAAAAATTATATATATATATTTTTAAATATTAAAAAAAATAATTTCAAAAAATTTCAATATTCATAACCAAACAAATTTTATTTAACTCCACACTTAAATCACAACTTTACACTCAAATCATGATTTTAAAACTAAATTAAATGGAGTCTTATTTTTTTATTTTTTATTTTTTCTGTTTCTTCATTTTTCTTACTTCTTTTTTCTTCTTCATTTTTTTTGGTTCTTTTTTGTTGTTGCTGCGATTCTTCTTTGGTTCTTTTTCCCTGAACATTGCTGAAAAAATTTCTTTTAATTTTCACAATTTGCAGCACACAATTAGCATAGTAGCATCACAACACAATGTCAACCTTTGGTTCAGGAAAAGGGAGGCAAAGGAAAAATGTTGCTGGAGAAAAAATTTCTTTTATAATGTTTTTGACTTCTTTTGTTGAGAAAAAATGCTTGAATGCTACTTGAATTGCAATATTTCTTTTTCGGGGGGTCATTCTATATACATTTTGATAGTATTACTTAGCCATATAAAAAGTATTGCCTTTTTTTATCATTTTGGTAGGATTTTATGATCCTCGATCCGATCCTACGATCCGATCCGACGACCCTCAAAATGATCCTATGTAGGATCCCGATCTTAACAATCTGAAAAAATACCCATTCCAAAAATCAATAACAAAACTCTAACCCAACAAAACTCTAACCTTACAAGTATCAAATCTCACCAAGGTTTACATTATAAGCCTATGTACCTAGCAGCATAACAATGAGATATTCACTTTCAATAAGCATTCAATAAGTCAAGTCTCACCAAGTTTTAACATTAAAAGCTTATTTTTTGTTTTAAGTTTCAAATTAAATGATAAAATCAGAGCTGAATAAATGGTAAAACTATCTGATAGACAAGGGTGATGTCCTAAGTTTATGACCAATCATCATAATCATACCATCACACCTAAATTGCTTCAAAACAAATTTTAGTTTTAAAGAATCACAGATTTTTGCTTCAAAACAACAACAAATTAAACTGCATATCACTTAAATCAACAAGAAATCTAACCCAAAAAATACACAACAAAAGGCTTCATATTTTTTTTTCCTACTACACTTTCTGATTAAAATCAGGAGAAAAAAAATTCACAACAAACCCTAAATCATCAAACCCATAAAACTCAAGAAATCAAACCACTTATTAAACCCATTTAATAAATCAACAATAAATCTAATCCAATAAATCATACATATATATAACAAAAGCAAATGAGAATGATGATTAAAGGAACCTCGTCGTCCCTACAATCTCGCCTTGCCGCCGTTGCGTCGCCACTGGAATCGTCATTGCCGGCCATCCTCTACATTTCTTCTTCACCGTCGCGTGGCTCCGCCTTCACCTTCGTCTCTCTATTAGGTTATGTGAGGAACAAAACAAAGTAAATGACAGATAAGAGAAAAAAGAGGGAGAAATCAAAAAATTTGAGGGGGAAAAAAATCAACTAAATAAAACGACGTCGTCTTAGCTAAAACGATGTCGTTTTGGAGATCACCGCAGACAGCGTCGTGGAAAATGGCGGCTGAGGATCCACACTCAAAATTGTAATGCCTTCGATAATCCAGCAAAGGCAAATGCCTTCAACCCAACTCTTCTACTCCCTTATCAACAGTGGCATTTTAGTAAATAATTCAGAATACAAGTTATATAGGTAGCGTTTGGTAGAGCTTTAGAATTATAATTTGATAATAGAGTTGTATTTTGAGTTTTTGAGTTTTGAATTATAATTTGAGTGTGAAAAATTTGTTTGATTATGAGTTTTGAAAATAGTTTTGAATTGAATTTGAAATAATTGATGTGAGATGTGATATTTGATTAAAAAACTTGCAATTTATAACCAAACACAAAATTCAAAATTCTAATCAAAACTCATAAAAAAAAATCGGAAATATTTTTTTATTTAAAATATAAAAATAGCAGGTGCAAAAAAAAAAAAAAAAAAACAAACAAACACTATTCCGGTCAACCAGCCGGATGACGTGTTTTTAAAAGTGGGTGTGGAATCAATTTTTAAAAATACTCATCAAATATCGCACTAAAATCAATGAATGAAATTAAATTTATAAAACTTTACCAAACAGAACCTATATAGCCTTCGTTTGGAAAGTGGAGTTGATTTTTTAATTTTTCGACTACTTTAGTCTATGGTTAAAAAATCTTGTTTGAAAAGAATTTTTTTAACTTTTTATAAAAGAAAGAATGTAATAATTACAAATTAAATGTAATTTTTTATTTTATCAAACTAAATCACTTATTTTACCTTTTTATAATTAAAATACAGGGTAATCGCCCCGATATTTCCACTCAGAGATGACGTGTTCGAGTTCTTCATCTCTCTTTTCTTCCCTAAAACAAACACACCAATATCAAATATCCACCGTCCATTCCTCACCACGTCACCGATCCGTGCTGTCTCAATCTGACGGCCACCAATCAATCCCAAGAGCGAATTTCACAAATCGTCAAAACCCCAAGCGAACCCAAACGCGCAACCACGAGTCGTCTCGCCTTTGGGCTCATCCAGACGCGCACGACTCTACATGTAGAGAGAGAAAACCTAGAGAGAGAGAGAGAAAAACAGAGCATTCTTCAGTTTTCTTCTCTTCTAGCGGAATCTGAAAATTAGGGTTTTAACGGGATAGATACAGAATTTATCAACATCTCAATCTGTGTTTGGGGTTCGGATTAGGGTTTGGTTTATCATTTCTTTTTTCTAATGTGCTATTAGGCCTTCTATTGCAAGGTCTTAATCCGTTCCTGTTTGTTAATATAGTGCGCTCTCTCTCTCTCTCTCTCTATACATATATATATAATAAAATAAAATAAATTGGAAATTTAATGGACGAGATCTGGGAAAGGGCGGTGGAGACAGCGCTCGACGGCCAAACAGACCTCGCTTCGGTTAGAACCCTAACCCTAGACGGAGCAGTGAAGTGCTTTCATGGTCGTCTTCCTCCTCCATCCCGCGTCGAGAAATTCCAGAACCTTCAACATCTCTCCCTCGCAAACATCGGTCTATCGTCGCTCGACCATTTTCCTCGCCTCAAAAACCTTCAAAAACTCATTTTGTCCGACAATCGCATCGCCGGTGGCCTTGAACTTCTCGTCGAAGCTGGTCTTGAATTGCTTCGAGACCTCGATTTATCTAACAATCGAATTCAGGACATCAATGATCTGAAGCCTCTTAGGGAGCTTAAGCTTGTCTCTCTTGATCTCTATGAGTGTCCGGTCACGCGGGTGAAGGATTATCGTTCTAGAGTTTTTGGATTGATTAAGTCGTTGAAGTACTTGGATAAAATGGACGCGGAAGAGAATGAAAGGCCCGAGTCTGAGGATGATGAGGACGAAGAGGATGATCCCGGGAGTGGTGAAATTGATGGTGAGGATCGGTCGTATAGGATGAGTAACGGACATAGTGCGGGTGGTGAAGGGGTTATTGATGTTGATGAGGATGAAGAGAGTGATGCTGATGGAGAGGAGAGGGAAATGCTGCGAGGGTCAGGCGGATGGAATCCGGCTTCATTGAATCATTATTCAAATGTTTTTGGGGTTGTGGCTACTGGTGATAGAGAGGAAGAAGAGGAGGGTGAGGATGATAATGACTTGGTGGAAGAGATTGATGAAGAGGAGGATGAGGATGAGGATGAGGATGAGGTTTATGAAATAGATGACAGTGATGATGATGAAGATGAGGTTGAAGATGATGTGGATGATGAAGACAGTGAGGATGAAGAGGAAGTTGACAATGACGAGGGGGATTTTGGAGAACTGGAGAGTACTGGACGATTGGTGAGTACAGAAGGGGAGATCGATGGACATGAGCAGGGGGAGGAAGATGGAGAGGAGGATGATGGAGAAACTGGGGAGGAAGGACAATGTGTTGAAGAAGATGGAGTGTTTGAAGAAGAGGAAGATGCTGAGGAGGAGGTGATGATCCCTCTTCCTTCATTAACTCTTAATTGTCCTTACATCTTGTTTTTGTTTCGTAAGTGGCTAGAAATTGCATTTGGCTCCACTAATTTCATTTACTAATTACGTTTGGTATGTGTTTGTGTGTAAGTAAGTTTGTGTATATTTAGATGTATATATTATAATCTGTTGTTAGGTTGTGTTTTAGTTTGTTGAAGATTAGGAACATATCACTTATATATGCAAATCTTTGTGTATCTATTATATTGGTTTTGTAGTTTTTTAGTTAGTAGTATGATTTCTTCATTCATTATAGTTTGTTGTTTAAAGGATTTCCCTGTCATGAATGGGAACCGTGTTTGAGTTCTACTAATTTCTTCCAATTTACTCCCACAAAATGGGTATCCTATTAATGTTATTAGATTTCTCAACCTTGCTAGTGGCCAGCAATTTCATATTATATAAACCACACTTTCTATACCACTTGATGCACAGTTTTGTATTTTATTGTTTCTCATTTATAAATATTATGCATGTCTAATTCTGGCTGTCCTGTTGCAAGTTGCAGTTAATTCAAGTGGACTACTGTTTGCTTCTATTCCCTTTTCCTAAGGATGACTTAGATTGCTAACCATTTTCTTTTCTTTTATTTTTTATTTTTAAATGATTTATGCTAGATTTTTATGTTTGCTTGTTGACACTTTTGTTGTTTTGTTCTAGTATGGATGGTTTCAGGTTTGTTGTTGCTGCTTATAATTGTGTATGGATTCCGGATTATAATGCTGCTCATAATTTTTATATTATATGTTTTCCGGTAATTCTAAGTTTGTATTTTCAATGTTGTACTAATTGTTTGCCGTTGGAGTGGAATTTCTTAAACTAGACATGGCACAAGAAAAAAAATTGGACTAAAATTTAACTCTATCTACTGGATTCTGTAATAGATTATACTCCTTGACAAGGTAGATGAACAATCTGTTACATTTGTAGTTGAACCTTGTGCTGAGAGCCATTTTTATGGCCTTCTCTACTTTTTTGTGGTTTTTATGTCTATTTGGTTCATTTGTGAATTTCTGTTGTTTTACTTATCACAATGGAAAAAATAAAAAAATAAAAAAAGGAAAATTGTGAATTGCGGTTCTTTTGTAGGAGTTTATACCTGTTATTTATTTTGGTTTTTGTAGTATATTGTTGTTGTAATTTCCCATTTACTCTTTGAAGTTGGCTTTTCAAAGTATTTTCCCTGCTTCCACAAAAAAACAACCTTTTATCCCGTTGGTTTTGTTTAGATTTTCATTTTCATTTTTTTTATACCAGATATTCATGTGTTGCATATTGCTTTGTTTCTACTTGTGTTTGATATATTAATATGTAATGAATGCTAAGGTGATTATTGAGTTTCTTGACTTACAGTACTTGATTTTTTGAAGTAATTGTCCTATAATGGCTTCTAGTATAGTGATCCTCATGGTTTTCTTTTCTAGTTTTACTATCTTTTTTTTTTTTTCCTTTTCTTTTCTGGTTTGTTAAGAATCCTTTGGCACTTTGTTCAATATTTCCATCTGTATTTTATTTTTCCTTTGTATGTAATGTTTTTTTTGGGTGCGTGAATGGCAGGACGATGATTATGCAGGCTACTTACTTCAACCTGTAAGACGGGCTGAAGAAAATGCTGGAGGCAGTGATATTGACCTTGGCAATGATAGTGATCCTGAAATGGAGGAAGATGTTGAGTATGAAGATGAAGATGGAGATGGAGATGAAGATGATGCAGTTCAAGTGCAACCACCATCCTCTTCACATAAGAGGAAGAGAGATGAGGATGACAGTGAGGAAGAAGATGATGATGTTGGGTATGCCAAGTCATCGAAACACCGTTAGCAATAATCAGATTTTCCTGTGTGAATATGGCTAAGTTGGTTCTACTATGGAAAGAAAAGAAAGAATTTCACAAGAGAATTGGTGAGGAGGAGGCAGCGGCGGCGGCTGGTAGTTACTCTTTAGCCCTGTGTGGACAAGTATTTTGGAAGGAATTATACCTTGGATGGCATGGCACTACTTGTTCGAAAGGTTGTTAGTTTGTTGTTCCCTCCCTTCCCTTGCCTTCCTTACAGAGTGGTCAGTTAATTTTTCAAATGGTAGTTATGCGCTGTGTGGTGTCTCTTTTTCCCGCCCTTCTCTAGGTTTCAGTTTTCTTAAGTTTCCTGAATTGGAGGGAAAGCAATGAAACTCTTGATGTTTTTTTTTTTTTTTTTTCAGGCATATTTTGAATTGGCTTGTTAAAACAGTTGTAAATAGCCTTATGATGCATGCGTTCCATTCAGTCATGCGGGGGCTTCAAAATCCGTAATTAATTCCTGTCCCTTGCCACGTGTATCTCTGTGAGCTACTTTACTTTTCTTATCTTACTAATAATGGGGGATATTGCAGATGTGTAGGGCAGATGGCTGTGTGATGGAATGAAGTGATACGAGGCAGTTTTATTCTGTACTCTCCTCGAATTTCCTGGAATAATGCAATAATTTTTGAATCTGCACGATTATGTCGTGATCATGTGGAATTTGCGTGAATTAGGAGGGCGGATTTATTTATTATATTTAATTTCAACTTTGGATTAAATATTCAGCCGTATGGCATTGTCTTGTCTCGCTTATACGATCTCCTCTTGTTTTTAGTGCAGGTTATGATAAAAAGTCTTTTAAGTTGTTGGCCTCATCATTTATAAATTATATGTATGATAGTACAGCTGTCGGTACATTATTGGATAATGAGTGGAACTGTGTGCTACTGTACAGTTGGAATGCAATTCATGCTCACACCGTCTTGAGTGTGTATTGGCTCGGCTCTTCATCCTTTAGCACAAGTTGGTCGACTCCTACACGTATTGACGCCGAGTTTCGAACTTTGTAGCGGGCTCCTAGTTTCTCTGCTAAGCTCGAGCAGCTGATTCTATTCTTCGGCAATGACGGGCACCAAGCCAAGTGTTTTGCAGAATATAATTTTGTATATTCTTTTCTTTTTCTTTTTTTTAAAATATTTTTCTTCTTATCACATTATTATAATGAATTTTATTTCAAATATCAAAATTTGTCATATGTTAAAAAAAAAAAAAAATTATAGAAGGATTGTAAAATATCATGGTATTGTTAACCCATGATATTTATAATTTAATTATATAACACAATGAAATGAGGATATCCTGGACGTAGTTATCAAATTCACAATAATTATGCACTTAGGCCTTATTTGACAAGAGACTTTTTTAATTAAAAAGTTACTAAAAAATTAACAATTTATATTAAAAAGTCAAAAAAAAAAATCTCTTTATTTTTTGCCTATTTTTTTTAAGAAAAAGTCATTCTAAATATATTAATTTTGTTTTATATTATATTTTAGTTAAAAAATCAAAAGTTATTAAAAAAATCTGTTTCTAAACGACGTCTTAATATATTTCTATATTTATGTTTATTAGTATTGCATTTTAATACAATGTTGATGTAATTACTGCCACTAATAGATGTTTATTATCAGGACGGAACTAGGATTTGATTACTGGAGAGGCTAAAAGAAAATTAATTTTTTTTCATTATATACACAAAACATTCATGTATGTATATATGATATATAAATTATATATGTGAGAGGGTAATTTATGATCTGGAGTTGGGTCGAGGTAACGGCCGAGCAGGTTGAGGGCCCAATGGTGCATGGGGTCGAGCTGATCAACTATCCGCCCGGAAAGGGGCTGCCAGAACTTGGGCCGGGCAGAGTTTGGACTGTGTGCCACCCCGGACCGTACAGAAACTGCTCGGCCAGGAAGTGACCGGTCGGACCAGGATGCTCGGTCCGAGGATGGTCGAAGCCAGACAGACCGAGTGACCGGCGCCCGGAAAGGCGTGGTCAGCCAAGGTAGTTGATTGACCGGCAGGAAGGCCGACCAAAGGAGGTGCCCGGGCTAGGCTTTGCCGGGATGCCGCCTAGCCCGGTCCTCCATGTGTTTGTCCGGTTAGGCGCATGGGTATGAAGCATGGCATGGCATGGCTGTGGTAGAGCAGCTCGGCTGCCGAGCTCCAGCTGTGAAGTCAGGCAGTTGAGATTAGGTGATGTTCAGCAAGGTCTACGCTGACGGATGGGATAGCAGAGCCACGTGTCAGGAGATGACTGGGAGTGGGTAAGGGGCTCAGAAGGTATATAGGCATGTCTGCGCCCCCATACGCGACAGACGAACATATCTGTAAGGACTTCTTATACTCAAACACTCTCTCCCTTCTCTCTATCCATCCTAAGGTGTGTGCTAACTTGACCGTCGGAGGGTTTTTCCGGCCACACACCGCCGGGTAGCTCACCATTACTTGCTCGCAGGTGAACGGACATCGACGGAGCTCGGAAGAAAGGAATACGGGCTTGCCGGAATATTTGCTCTCCGTACAATATGCATTAAAAAAAAATTAAATATCATAGAAGTAATTTTAAATAGGATGAATACGTTTCTTTCAATGTAAAATAGAAAGAGAATTCAAAATGAAAGAAAATAACATATTTTTTATATTGGGGGTATTTTATATATAAAATAATATGTATATATATATTAAAAGTTTTATGATAAATAATAATGTTCACAGAAATAGGAGTCAAGGGTATGGCCTCTCATAATCTTTTTTTAGTTTCGTACCTGTCTATTATTATATTATTTGTAAATTTAACTCTTTAATGTTTTATAATTGGATAATGATTAAAGTTTTTGTTGTTATATTCCCGAGTGTTGCCAATTAAACTATGAGAGGAAGAGGATAAGGTGCTTCTGAGCAAGAATCTCCCGACTCTATTCTTTTTGGGTAATCCCAATTGTACAATACACCATTACTCAACTAGAGTTTCCCTCGCCTCTTCCCTGCATATTTTCTTCACCATGAACGCCTCAAAGATGTTGCTCCTCTCTCCACCTCCCACCTCTCTCCTACCACCACAGCGCAACCACAGCAGCATCCTATTCAGAAGAGTCTGCCCACATGCCCCACTCAAGGTGTTTGCCATGGCCAAAGAGAGCAGCGAAAGAGATACCACGACCGCAGAGAAAGCAGCCATAGTTGGCGGATTGGTCTCTACGCCTGTGATCGGATGGTCCCTCTACACCCTCAAGACAACAGGATGTGGCCTCCCGCCCGGTCCAGGGGGCTCAGTAGGTGCACTAGAAGGCGTGAGCTACCTGGTTGTTGTGGGAATTGTGGCTTGGTCATTGTACACCAAGTCCAAAACTGGCTCCGGTCTGCCTAACGGTCCTTTTGGCTTGTTGGGTGCTGTGGAAGGTTTGTCCTACTTGTCATTGCTTGCCATTGTGGTTGTGTTCGGGTTGCAGTTCCTCCAGCAGGGTTCTATCCCCGGGCCACTCCCTAGCGACCAGTGTTTCGGCTGAGGAGGTCTCTCACTTTAGAATAATATTAGAGATTATGAAAAAGATATCATGAAATGTATTATGAACATTTTTTATCATTTGATTAGTATGTGATGTTTTAATATACGTCTAATTCAAATGTGAAAAATATTTTATAATTATTTTTATGATTTTTTTTTTTATAATTCTTAATATTACTCCTCACTTTAATAACAGTACGAATACAGAATTTTTTTTTCCAGAAAAAGTATTCAGAGAATGAATTCTAGGAGCATTGTATTCGTATTAGATGCCGCCAGCATCGCGGTGTACGGATTTTATTTTTTATTTTCAAATATTTGTAACATTATTGTTTTGTATTGGATAGTGTGGTTTTAGCCACTACAACTCTATCTTGATGTTTGTGGCCATGGTTTGACAAGAGCTGTCATTGCTATCTATCTATATAAAGGAAAATTGCCTTTTTAGTGTGAATTAAAAAAATGAAGCTAAGTAATGTGATTTCTTTTATGTTGAGAAAGGATGGAGAATAAGTAAAGGGAATTTAATAAGACTCGAACTCAGCCTTCATGCTTGGTAACAGAGTGCATCCCTAATGCTAAATTTTGCGCTTCTTTTTATTATTAACAGCTATATCTTGGTGGTGTGAGCTCTTCTTATTTCATTTTGAGTTTTTTTATTCACAATCCCATTTTACAAAAGTGAAATTATTTGTTTAGACCAAAGATTTTCTATTCTCTTGTACCAATGCAATTTTAATCATTGAATTATATGATAATTTTAAAACAAGCGAAATTTAAGGTTTAAGTTAAGGTTGGGAGTGTATTAGGATATAGGAATAAGAATTTTGGGACAAAATTTTGCGCCATTAGTTTGCAGTTGAGTTTACAATCTACACATCATTTCTCTTTCGGGAGTTTGATTTGGCCTTCTAGTTGAACTTGCTAGTTGATATTTCCAATTCCGTCCCCTACCAATGTTCCAGTTTAGTTACTGCTAATTAAGCAAACTTCCTACATAACACATGACTATGGCGCTGTTTGGGAAGCACAAAATAAGGCTATTATAGTCTATTTTGACAAATTAGCCTAAAAGCAATACTGTTGCAACTTTTTTAAAAAAAAAAAAAAAATCTGCACAGCCGGCAGTGTAGGCTGTGCCTACACTGTCAGCTACAACCCTTGTCCCATCAATAAGTAAATTACCATTTTATCCCTTGATATCAATTTAAAAAAATATATTTTTAGGGATAAATTTGTCATTTTAAATTTAAACATCATTTCAACACACTTTTCAATACAATAACTCAATTAAAAAATCATCTCATCTTCCCAAACACAAAAACTAAAATAACCACTAAAATAACTAAGGCCTCGTTTGGGAACAGGCTAATTTAGTAATTTTTTGGCTATTTGGCTAAAATATGAGCTAAAAAAAATTAGTATGTTTGGGATGACTTTTTACGAAAAGATGTGCAAAAAGTAGAGAGAAAAGAGAATCTTTGATTTTTTAGTATGGGTTGTTGGCTTTTTGATTTTTTTAGTAAATTTTTGACTTTTTAGCTAAAAAAATCTCTTGCCAAATGAGGCTTAAATAACCAAATAACCAATTAAAATAGTCACTTTCCCAACGAGGCCTATGAATTGGTATTATCTATTAAAAAAGAGAAAAAGTTCGGTGCTGATAGAACAGCCATAAGCTCTTAAATAGCAATTCTATTCACTGAAAAAAAATATTATTTATAGATTTTAGGAATACTTTTAAAAGATCAAATCATTTCATTTAAAGAGGAAAAATAAAAATGTTACGGTACGTCTCACTTGTACCAAACATTTTGTGTCAACATACGATCATGATCCTATGTACACATGTCAAGTGCGCCTTTCAAAGAACTAACAATGGCTACTGATGCCTTAAATTCCACCCCACGTGCTTGCGTGCAGTCCAATGAGCACTTTAAGGCCATAATATGTAGTCGCATAGATTGTGAGAGAGATTCAACGAAAAACTAAGGCACCGTTTGGTAAGACTCCGTTTGATAAGTCTATCAAATTATAATTTTATTAATTGATTTAAGTATGGTGTTTATTTTAAATTTTCAAATTATAATTTTATATTTATTTCTCAAAACTCAATTTAAAACATAATCATTACTTTTTAAAATTCATAACCAAACACATAATTCAAAACTCTTTTCAAAACTCAATTTAAATCAATATTTTAATTTTTTAAATATTTTAAAAATATTTTAATTTTATTAAGATTTTAAATATTTTAATATTTGAATATGTTACGATTTTTTAAATTTTTTGATATCTTTTAAAATATTTTAATTTTTAAATTTTACAATTTTAATTTTTAAAATTTTAAAATATTTTATAAAAATAAATTCAAACTCTATTTTATAAAAATATTTTTAAATATTTTAATTTTTTTATTATTAATTGGTTACGATTTGAGCGTAAAGTTGTGAAAATAATATGAAGTTTCGAGTTATGTGTTTGGTTATGAGTTTTAAAAATAATTTCTTAATTGAGTTTTGTTTTATGTGTTTGGTTACGATTTGAGTGTAGAGTTGTTTTTAAATTAAAAATATTAACATTTTAAATTATTTAAATTTTTTGAATATTTAAATTATTTAAATTTTTACGATTTAATTTTTTTGAATATTTATTTTAATTTTTACTTATTAAATTTTTTAAATTATTTAAATACTTATAATTTAAATTTTTTGAATATTTATTTTGAAAAAAAAATTATTTCCTTTGTAATATTTTCAATTAAAAAATTGATTAATGTTATTTTCTATTAATAATAAATTTTTTTAATTGAATTTTGAAAAGTGTTTGGTTCTGAGTGTTGATCAAAATTTTCAATAGTGTGAGAGTAGTGTGTTTTGTTATGAGTTATAACAATTTAAATTAAGTTTTGAAAACTCTTTCTAAATTCATAACTAAACAAATTTTCTTACTTCACATGTCAAATCAAACTTTCAAAACTCAATTCCACACTCAATTCAAAACTTTATTCAAAAACTATAACTAAACAAATTTTTTATACTTAAATCATAATTTTAAAACACACAAATTCAAAATGTAACTCATATTCTTAAATTATAGTTAAAAAATCTTACCAAACGGAACTTAAGTTTTGCCTCATAAATTTACAAAACAAAGTATTGTTAGCACCATCCAACTAGTGGATTCTAGCCAGGGGCCCTCAAATGTTAAAGTTAGAGTGGGTCTAATAAGGAGACAGAAGACATTGGGTATGTTTGGTTTGCATTTGGGAAATGAGTTTTAGAAAAAAAAATTTAAAAAATTATTTGGTTTGAGTTTTTTTTAAAAAATTTTCAAAATCACTTTCTCTCTCTTACACATTAATCAATCACTTTTTCTCTCTTCTTTCTCCTTTTCAATCACTTTTTCTCTCACACACATTTACTCAAATTCTCCCAAAATATCAAATCATCCCAAACTCTCAAAAAAACAACTCTCCCAAAATATACAACCAAACAAACTAAAAAAATTTCTAAACTCTCTCCTCAAAATTTTTTTTAAAAACAACTCTCTCAAAAACAAACAAAATAAGCCCATTATGTGTGTGCAGGGAGTTAAGACATAGATCTTTTCAATGGTCGTCTTTTCTTTTTGGGAATTGATTGAGACCCGTTCAATCACAGTCCCACCATCCACACACACGTGTCGGCTGATGATCGAAGAAGAAGGAAAAAAAAAAATTGACTAATGAGAGAAAGTGAGAGAGAGAGGGGGTCATGGGGTGTCCTTCGTGGGGTCCAAGCCATTTTCCTTTCCTTTTATAGTGGCAGTTGTCAACCCTTACTTAGCGTGTGTTTGGGAAGGCAAGTTGAGACTAAATTAGCCAAGTCCCAACAAAAAAGGCTAATGTAGCCACACGGAGACAAAACAGAAATCACGGGCAAGTTCATACCCTTATTGGGGTAAATTTACCAAAATACCCTCACTGTTTTGAGCAAAACCCTAACCCTAATTCTAATCAGCTGTTAAATTCTGTTGATGTTTCATCCATGGACACTGCCACAGCCACAGCCACCCCCACAACCACCGACATCGCCTGTGGTAGCCACCGCAATTTCCACCGCCGCGAGCCGGAAGACCTACCACCACCCTCCACCGCCCAACACGTCATCGAGTACCAACCGCAGCACCGTTACCACCCTCCCATGCTACTGCGCAGTCCAAATTCAACATCTCCGCCGCCGATCTCCTCCGCCTACTACCTATCAACACCCCATATGCTCCAAGCTCTCAGTGCCAGGTTATCAGGGCAAGTACCGTGCAAAAAACAGACCGGTAAATTCATCCGGGGCTGGTAACCCAAATGGGCGGAAGAGACATAGAACGAAATTCATGCAGGATCAGAAGGAGAGTATGCTGGAATTTGTGGAGAGAGTTGGGTGGAAGACGTAGAAGAAGGACGATGAAGTAAATCGCAGAGTTCTGTAGCAATGTTGGAGTCGGCATAGGCATTTTCAAAGAATTAGAGAGAGAGAGAGAGAGAAAGAGAAACAACTTGAAGGGCAGTTTGGTCTTTTAACATGGAGACACCTCACCAAAAAGTCAAAAAGTCCTTCCTAAACCAAGCTTTTTAGCCCCGAGCTAAAAAAGCCAAAAATGCTAAAAAGCGAACCCACTTCCCAAATGGAGGCTTAAGTTGTTTTATTGGGTTTTTTATTTAGATTGGGTCAATTGTTCAAAGCCTAGATGGGCTAAGCCCATGATTTTTTTGTGTGTGATTTCTCTCTCAAATCACTTTTGGATTAGAGTAAACTACTCACATTACTTGATATTTACTTAAATTATAAATTACCTTATATAGTTTTAAAAATTACATTATGCCTTAAGATTTCTAATTTCATAACAAATAGGCTTTTTTATTAGTAAATCACTAAGTTAATTAACAGTTTTTAATAATGTTAAAATTTTATTTCAATTAATAATTCAGATAATTTTATTATTGTATAGGTGAACAGTTAGAAATTTTACTTTTTTAATTAATTCTGTTAAATAAAATTTTTTGACAATGAGGTATTTGTAATTTTTCAAACCACATAAAACAATTCATATTTTAAACAACTCTCAAGGGATATATTTGTAATTTATCCATTTGGATTATCTATCTACATCTTTTATTTAAAACAATATGTTAAGTTAGTTTCACTTATACTATTGGGAAAGTTTTTGAAATTTTTTATATGTGACATCTCTTTTATCTTTTTTATTTTTATATACAAACATGATTTTTTAAAATTCAAAAACAATCTTTTGATATTTCCTAAAAAATGGTTATTTTCAAAAATAATTCTCAAAATTAATTTTTGAAAATAATTTATCATAATAAAAATAAAAAA